TCATTTGATTTCTAGGTGATTTTGATCGAAGTGGGTAGGAGAGCTTCTTCAGCGGCCCCTAAGAAAAACCCAGCCCTTGCCTACCTTTTCTGTTCTCTACTGGTATTGGGGATGTCCGACCCTGTAGGGCATTGCCCAAGCCTTTGCCGGGGGTATATCCCTGGTTCCTGAGTATATCCTTAGCCTGGGGGGAGCAGTTTGACGTAAGTGTGACATCCATCTGAGTGAGGATGTCCCTTCCCCATAGAGACACTGGCAACTGTAACACAAATGGTTGGAAATGGCCCTGATGACCCTCCTCATCGCACCAGAGAAGGGTTGAGGCGCTAACCTGGGGGGCTGACACCATCCCCAGACCTTGGAGCGTGTTGTCTGCAGTGTTGGTAGGCCAGCCAGAAGGCCAGTCCTTTCTGGAGATAATGGAGCGATCAGCTCCTGTATCTAAGAGGCCTGTTATACTCTTACCATTGACTTTGAGTGAAAGCATGGGTCTTTTATCAAGTGTCATGTGCAGCCCCTCGAAGACCTCCCCGGAGGAGCCAAAGTGTTGGTTTCCTCTAATCTTTTGTTTTGCCGGGAACCTCCCATGGAGACTGGGAAGCAGCAAGAGCTGCGCTATCTTATCTCCCTTATTGATCACCATCGTACCCGCAAGGGACTGGACCATAATTTTGACATTTCCCGTGTAGTCTGAGTCAACGACCCCAGGGATCACCGTAAGACCCTGGAGGGCGGTGGAGGATCTTCCGATTACCAGACCCACGGAATTCTCGGGAAGCGGCCCCCGGAAGGTGGTCTCGACTATCTGAACACCCATGTCAGGCGCTAATATGAATCTGGAGGCGACACTGAGGTCCACACCTGCTGATCCAGGGGTGGCCTTTGTTGAAGGCTGCCATCCTGTGTTGTCCTGTCTCTGGGGCGGGGGCCCGCCTGTGAGGAGGGCCCCCTCTGGCAGTTTTTTGGCTCTCTAGCATCTCGTCCACAAATACGGTTGCCCTGAGCATCAAAGACCGACCTACACTCCTCAGCTTTGTGTGGTCCCTTCTTGCATCGCCCACAAACATATGGCTCTTCATTCCTAGGACGGGGCCTAGCATCTGCATTGTTTGGGCAGTGACGTTTAATGTGTCCTGGCTCCCCGCAGGCAAAACACCCTTTGGCCTTACGTTCCTCTCCTGATCCGCGGGGTCCCTTCTGCTGTACAGCTGCTGCCAGGAGAGCGGCAACTCCCGAATTGGAGAGCGGCCCCCCGATCTCTCTGCATATTCTGATCCAGTTGTTAAGATCCTTGTTCTTATGGGGGGCTATTGCTGCTTTACATTCCTTTGTGCATTGCTCGAAAATCAACTGTCTAACCAGCGGTTGAGCCACTTCCCTATCGGAAAAGATCTTATCGGCGGCATCTTGCATCCGAGCCACAAAATCAACGATTGGCTCTGTTGTGCCCTGGACTATCTTAGAGAGGCACAAGGATGCCGCTCCGGCACCACTCACCTGCTTCCAGGCGCGAAGCCCAATGGTATTGATCTGCTCATAAACTACACCAGGGAACTGAGTCTGATCATCAGCGTGTTGGCCTTCCCCCATAAGCATGTCTCTATTCCACCCCCGGTTCCCTCGGTTAGCGTTTCTTTCCGCCTATTCGGCAGCGAACTCGGCGTACCAGGCCCGCCAATCCAGGTAACTACCCGAGGGCAGACACGCCTTTGCCAGCTGAATCCAGTCCGCGGGGGTGAGGGGTCCCGCAGACAGGTTCTCTAGCATAGCGATGGTATATGGCGCCGTCGGCCCAAAGGTTGTGACTGCATTCTTGAGTTCTCTAATCTGTTTTATCTCAAAAGGCTCCCATGCATTACGTCCCTGGCCCATAGCTATTTGCACGGGGAATATCCCATAGGGGCCACTGTCTATCCCAGGCAGCAGATGGTCCCCGAGGGGCAGACACCCCCCCTGCCAAAGCCGCCTATGAAAGTACCGTCCAGCAGACGGTGGAGCGTCGTAAGATGGCGGCCCATGTATCACTTCCTGTTCTGATGGAAGAAGGGGGAGCTCCCACGCGGCCGCCTCGCGGCGGGGGACCGCCTCGGGGGGGCGGCCCCCAAGGCGGGGCAGAGGGCTTAACTTCCTTCTCCAGCCAGGGGGCGCTCAGGAGCTCCCTGCTCTTCCATAGACCAATTTGGGCGGAGCGCAGCTCGCGGCGCAGCGCGGCGAAGGACCCCCACGATTCTTTGTCAGGTGGCCTATCCTCCTGGCATCCAGACCCTTCTGTCTCGCCTCCATTCAGGTCCTCCTCGTCCTCAGAGTCGGACGACTCCGGGGCCTGAGTCCTACCCTCCCCCCTTGTCTCTCTATTCCCCTTGATGGATCCTTCTCGGGAGCTCCCTGACTGAGTCTGTTCAAAAACCCTGCGTGCCTCGGTAAGTTCTTGAGAGCTTTCCCCGCTTCCGCACTCGACCCTCAGGCATACATATATCATTTCCCACAGAGGCCGAGCGGAAACCGATGCTCTGCCCTCCCTCTCCGCTAGAGAAAGGTCCCTACCCAGCTTTTCCCATGAGGGTAGGTTTAGATGCCCCGTAGGCAAGAACCAGGGGGCGAAGCTGTCAATCTCTTCTAAAAAATTTTCCAGAGTCTTGCGCCCCACCTTAAGATCTCTTGACCTTAAGAGCTTCCGGAGGACCTGCACCAGGGGCTGAGTGTCCCTACTCGGTACATTTCCCATTTTTAATATGTTGCTCACCGCGTGAGGTCTAAGGGTCCACCACTTACGCGTGAGCCTGAGAGGAGTCTACAAACCCTGTAGGTGCGCGCCACCCAGGGCCCAGGCTTATCCCCTACTCACCTGTCCTGTAGCTCTGTGTTGAACGACTTTATCCACCGCCTCGTCTCAGGGCTGATCAGTTCCCCGTACGGGCCACCAGATGTCGGTGTCGCTCCCGGCCGGCAGGAAGAACACACGACAAAATCTGGCGGTGGCGAAGTGTTCTATTTTATTTCTCTCCTCCTTCACAGTCTACCCCGGGACTCGTCCCGGCCGAAGCCTCTGTTGGTCCGCTCCCCGCAGCTCCTTCCGTGCTTCTCCTTCCAGGGGTGGAGGTACTGGCTATATATAGGACTGTGGCCTCCAAATCAAGGCGGGTTGCGTAAGCTGATTGGCTAGCAACATTAGTAGCTAGGCAGACTACCCTGCGAGGCGGGAACTTAGTGGGGTGATAGGGATCAGGAAGCGGGAAACAGGCACCATCTTGGCGGGCTCGATGGGAGGGGTAATCTAGCTCAGGCTTTTGTACTTTCCTATAGGCCTCGCGATCACCGCGTCTGATGACTTGGCAGTGCCACGGCTCCCAACAGAGTGGGGCATACATGTAGCTTAGGTTTGGGGTGGAGCCTACGGGGCCTTAGGGATGCACAGGTAGCTCATTGGTAGTCATTTCACGGGAGAGGGGTGGGGAGTATAGAGCCAAAGGTAAATTCCTATGGGCGGGGAAGATGGAGCCCCTTGGTTCCACCTTCAAGGCTTTACAGGCTACAGTGTCAGGCCTAGGGCAATATCCTTTCAGTGACATTCAGTCCGGCCAACAGATCAGCAGTTATAGCTCCTCCTTCCATCATGTGGGCATTCAGTTTATAGAACTCACTGAGAAGTTCCTCTTTATTGATCAAAGCTTCCATGCGTTCTGAAAGTTTCTTTTGCATTAATGCAAAGGAAACCAGGCTACTTCTTCTGCCTACTGGTGTCTTCAGCCCTGGAAGATCTTTAACACTTGCTGTTATCTTTGCTTGCAGCCACCGGAAACCGGAACAAGTTTTTCTATCAGTTCTAGAGACCCCCCAGAAGAATTTATTTTTATTTTTTGGTACTAGGGAACTCAAAACCTTACTCTTAGCAGGTAGGAGCTTGTATCACTGAGCTCAATCCTTGGCCCACGAATTTATTTTGTCCACAAAGTTTTCTTAGCTCTCAGGCCGTGCTTCAGAGACTGTCCATCAGCAGGAAATTCTGCGTGGGCACGTAGAGTCCAAAGTCTTGCTCAGGTTCAGAGCTGCCTCCATGAAGCCTGTGATACTTAGCTTGGCCATGTTCATCAGGTTCATGAGTTCCTTAGCCCTGAGATATTTAGGGTGGTGCCTGCCGGCCCCTCTGCCCGTGTGACTCAGCAGCAACAATGGCAGCCAGGACATGGCTGTGGACTCTTCCAGGGGAACAGGGGTGAAAGAGGCTGGCGGCACCCTAACCGTGATACAGCAGAAAGAAGCAGGTGGCCACTGGCAAGTCCAGCTCCACATGCTTGTTGAGGGAGGCTGGCAGCCCTGCCTGATGCTACAGCCAGCATCCTTGGCTCTCCACCTCCTCCTCCTCCTCCTCCTCCTCCTCCTCCTCCTCCTCCTCCTCCTCCTCCTCCTCCTCCAGATCCCCCATGCTCCTGTGCTATACCACCACCACCTCCAGCGTGCTAGCCTGTCCTGAGGAGAGCCCTTGGCCCTCAGTGGCCAGGTCCCTGCCAGCAGAAGAGTCCAGCCACCCGCCCCACAATGCAGCCTGCACCCTTAGTGGACTTCTTTTTTGTCTTTCTTATCCCCTTCCACGAGTAAAAAGCCAAATCTGGAGAGCACAGAGTGTCAATTGCTGTTTCTCAAAGTGTTGAGGTTTGGGGTCAAGGACAGATAATAAAAAAAATTCAACCATGGGAAGTTTTAAGTGCAAAGGAATCAAAACAACCAGAGTAACGGGTGTTAAGAGGTTTTTGGCACAATAGAGAAGTAGAAGGAAAGAAAAAGTGAAAGCAACCTTTTTATTTGAAGATGTGAAGAGACGCCAACAACCCTAGGAGGTTTGGCATTTTTCTCCAGCAGGATACAGGGGGGATGGGGTTATATGACCTCTGATCAGAAGTGGTGCATGGGGCGGGCATTGATGACACGCTAGGAATGGAGGACAGGGAAGGAGGGGTGGGCTAGGACTCTTGGAAGAGGCCTAGCAGCCTTGCAGGTCGACTATGGGGCCCCAGCTAAGAAGTGGGGTAAGCTGGGTCATGCAGACAAGGCCAACACTAGGTGGTGGGAGGGAGGGAAGAAACCTTTGCTAAGAACGGGACAGCAGAAGGGCCATCAAGAGGCCACCACAGCAAGTGAGGGGTCCACATGCGGAGGGGCCAGGCAGCTCCTCAAAGCACTGGGTCCTGCTCAGGGTGGTCCTCCAGCCACTCAGCCACACAGCTGCAGGCACCAGGAAGCAGCCCGAGGACAACACACTGCAGAGGCTCCTCACAGCCAGAAGCTTCCCCATGCCCTGCACCTGCCAAGAGCTCATCCTCAGTCCCTAAGACCTGCACTTGAGGGGAAGGGTGCTGGGCTACTCATTAGACTTGGAGCAAATTCCACACCCCTGCCACAAGACCCCACTTTGGCTTCTTCATGCACAAAGGGGGCTCCGGGTCACAGAGTGGACAAGACGGGCCCTGGGGACCCAACCATTGGCTCCCCACAATTGCACCCATCCACTTCCTCAGGGCCACTAATTGCAAAAAGAATGACCTTCCAGGGGAAGAAAGGGATGTTTCCGAGGGTTCCTTTCTGCTGGACATGGTAGTGCTTAGTGGGGTCTTTTTTGTCTTCGTTTACTTCTCCCATGAATAAAGAGCCAAGTCTGAAGAGCACGGTGTCAACCGTTGTTTTCAAAATGTTGAGGTCTAAGATGGGGACCCATCCACATAACACAAAATTCAGCCAGGTAAATTTAGGTGCAAAGGAGTCAAGATGACAGAATAGGAATGGTGAGGGGGTACAACAGAGGCAAGTACTCCCTAAATAGACTGAGTGCCCAGATTCCTAGCAGGCGTCAGGATGTTGCCCAGTCTCCCTGCCTCCCTCTCGCAAGCCCATTTCCTCACTGAGAAAGTAGAGGTGGGCACTACTTCCTGCTGTTCAGCTCTGCTCTAGATGCGGCCCTGCCCTAGCCTGCACTCTCCCATTCCTCTGTGGCATACAGCTGAGGAAGGCTGCTTCCTGGGAACAATTCCCTTGTCTGTGGGGCTCTCGTGGACACAGGCTGTTGATTCTGCTGACCAGCATCAGGTGTCACCCTGGTGCCTGGTCAATTCTAGGGTGGCCATTCTCTTTCATCGCAAGCCTGATATTTGACTCTCTCAACAGTCAATAGCCAGAAAAGAGCTCAGGCTCACTCCCCAGAGGAGCCATTCCTGTGGACAGAGACAAGGCTGGGGTACAAGCAGAGGAACACTCGGGGGCCAGGCAAGGCCTCATGCTTGCAACAGGGTTGCCTTAAGAAGCTTAGAAGACTGTGGCCCCTAATAGAAGGAGATGACCCGCAAGATGTGGACAAGTGGTGACCAGGCCAGGCTCCTCTCTGCAAGGGCCACGTCTGTATCATGGCTTTCATGCTGTTGGAGTTCCTAAGGAGGGTGCCCACCACTGGGTGCTGAGCAAGCCTTTGGGGTCTTCCCAGAGCCCTGAATGACAGTGGGGCTGACATGGGCACAGAACCTGTGCTGGGAGGTCCAGTGGAGGTGCAGGATGGGCCACCAGCAAGCTTCCAGGTTTGTAGGCAAACCCTTGGTAGCTCAAGCAGGGTACCCAATTCTGGGACAGGACCTTTGCAGGGACTTCTGGTGGGAGTTGGAGTTAGAAAGCCAGGTCACACAGGTGTCTAAGTCCCCAGGATGCTCCTTCTGTCCCAGGTTAGCGTGGGTCCTTGTTTCAGTGATGACAGGAGGCAGAACCAAAGCAGGGTTTGGCAGGAAGAGATGTACTTGGGAAATGAGAGGGCAAGGAGGTATCTGCCCCTTAGCAAGGGGGAGTGAGAGGAAGTGGGGTTGGCCAGCTTGGGTAACCGCAGAGGCTTCCATGGAGTGGTGCAGGACACCCCTGAAGGAGGAAGGGCCTAGGTTCAAGGGTACTGGTTGCATGGTGCTTGGTCACTGTCTCAGTGCTGGTTTCCTGGCTCTGGAGCTAATGAAGGACTCAAGGTGGGGATTTTGTCCCCCAAAAATCTAGCAATAATGAGGCTAGGCTGGCAGGATGTACTGCAGATAGGAATGGGTGACAGGGACACCCTGAGACCTTCATCCCAGGGGAAAATGGGCCAGTGCAGGGGGAAGTCTTGGTGATCTTCTACTTGGGAGAAGAGATGAGGTCGACTAAGGGAAGATGCACCCTAAGTGCTGCAATACTTGGTTTAACATTGGGCACATTCTGGCATGGGCATTGCTGCATGGCACCCCAGATTTCAGGAATAACTGCTAGGTTTCCTCCTCTGGCAGCCTGCAGTTCCCAGGCCTGCAGATGCCTCACCACAAGTCTTTCCCTCTCACATATTGTAGGACCAGAATTTCTTAGTTCCCAAGATCTCCAGCTGGTTTTGCTTGTTCAGCCTAACTGGCCATGATTCTGGATCCCTGATCCTCAATCCCTCTTCAGAAAGATGGCCAGAAGAGAGACATCACACTGCTCTTCCGGGTTGGTACCTGTGCTATGCCAGCAGTCCTAAGGCCCTGACTGTCCTGCAAGGCTCCTCTGCTTCCTCTGCCCTTGCTTTCTGTGGTCTAGAAAATGGGCAAAGCTAGGTGGCCTCCCTGGTGACATAAACGCTGCTTTTTGAAATATCCTGCAGATCCCAGGGTTCTCTATTCAGCAAAGCCTGTGTAAGACCCTGAAATTGGTCTTGATGAAATGTCTTGGGGCCAAAATGCACACTGGCTACCTCTGTGCACAAGCAGCATGTGCTCAGAAGGTGATAGTTTCTCAACAGAAGAGACCATTAGAACCCAAGCTTTGCCCAATGTGCCCTATTGATGCCTGCCCAGAGGCATCTTTTCTCAGACCTGGCTTGGCTGTCCTTCACATCCTGTGTTGTCCTGTGTGATTGTCCAGCACCTCTCACTGATGCCCACATGCAAATCACTGATCTTCTCCCCGGGAGAAAAGGGCCACTGCAGGTAGCAGGTTTCTGAGGCCTCCTAGTCTTGGGTATAGCCAACACATTGCTCTCTCAGAATTCCTAGAATTCCTCCCTGGCTGCCAGCACCTCTGATGCCACTGTGTACTTAGCATGACTGCCACCATGTCCTGTACACTGCCCTGGTGGTCTAGGGAAAGCTGGGCCCTGGCTTCCCCTGCAAGCATTTCAAACAAAGTTATCCCGAGGCCCCAAACATCCCCTCATGGGCCTTGCTATTTTTGCCTGAAGGTGGCACAAGACTGCAGCGAGCTACCCACTGCAGTTACTGCTTGGTGAAGAATGAACCTGAACTTCATACCACAATCACAGGTCTTCTGCCTGGGGAGAAAATGTTCACTGCAGGTTGCAGGCTCCCCAATCCTCCTCGTAGGTGGCAGGCTCTCTGGTCCTTTTGGGGAATCTAGACAATGGCTCTTTAGCAACTGGGAATAAGGATAGTCTTAAGCTATTGTAGGGCTCCCCGATTGGTCTCCCTACCACCTTTTCATTTCTTAGGGAGATTTTCAGACATTTCCCTCTGGTGTCATTTACTTGCGACCTGTTTGGGAAGATGGACTGCTTCTGGGAGTTGTAGGATTTCCTGAGTGTGTTTTATAGATGGTTCTTTGTCTGCAAGCCTCTTTCCCTCCAGATTGACGCAGGGGCATGTAGTACCATAAAGGCATACCTGGAGTCTGTATAGATTCTTCCTAATTTCAGTGCCCGAGTAAGTGACACTACCACTGCCTTTTGGGGATAAGTTCTAGCTGCAGTGACCTGTTTTGAGCTGGCCTTTCCATAACCTGCCTTTTGATGTCCTTCTTAGACAAAGCTACTTCCATCAGTGCCCCATGCTTCCTCGGGATGTTCATGGGGCAGAACACTGATGTCGTAGGCTGCTTGTCTCAGAGATTACTTGTTCAGGGCAGTGCCTAATCATTTGGCCTATAGGCATCAAAGAAGCAGGATTAATACCAGTGCAACTTTTTCTAATAATCTCAGGGCATTTAAGAGCACAGACAGATATTCACTAAGCCCTTCCCCTGTTAGTCACAAGTGACCTTTTATCTCCAGGATAGTTCTGACCGGATGGGGAGTCACAACTCTGTCCCTAGGTTAACTTAGCTTTTTTGGTTAGTATAGTTGTAGGTGGTATTGGTCTTAGGGTGGCTATCCAGCAAGTCATCCCATCTAATTTCTTTGCCACTGGTCTTATTCTTTGAATCAGTTCCCCAAAGCAATTCCTCTCTTTTCTTATTCATAGAAAAAGAAGAGTTTTTTTTTTAAAGTCAGGTATTCCCAGTGCTGGAACCTGAGTATGGGCATTCTTTACTTTCCTGAAAGCATTGTCAGTCGCTTTGGTTCACTCTAGGGGCACATACTCAGGCCTCTAAGTGCCTCATATATAGGCTTTGCCATTGGTTTAATATTAGGAACCCAGATTGTACAAAAGCCTGCCATTCCCAGGAAGGAACAAAACTGTTGTTTGGTGGCAAGACTCAAGATCTCACATAGTGTAGATCCAGTCCCTAGACAGCTGCATGAGAATATTACCCCAATATTGAACTGTTTGGAAGGATATATGCACCTTTTTTCTTTGGAGATTTATGTCCCTTCTAAACTAGAACTAAGGGTTTGTACAGTGTTGTGGTCAGATAGTTCCTAAGTTGAGCTGCAAACTGAAATATCAACTATATGCTGTTTTAGCTTTAGATTGCTCAAATCTTGTTTAGTGCCTGAGCAAAAAAGTGAGGAACCAATCCCAGAGTGTTGTAGCACCAGGGCTCCAGCCTGCACCTTCCTCTAGTTGTCTTCCTAAGCTGCTGCTCAAGCCCTCAAAGACCAGAGTCCTGAGAATCATGACCAGGAAGGGGTACAACCCACTGAAGGTCAGTGACTTGGTGAGGCTCAAGAAACTTAATCACCAGTTAGTGACCATCCTGCTGCCACGGAACCACACATGCCAGGAGTTTGGCTTCACATTCCTGGTGAAGCTTCTGTATCCAGCGGAAGATGCAGATGCTGAAGAAGTGTCACCATCTTCCACAGATCCTGCCCGCTCAT